TAATGTCCCATAGATTGGTAAAAGATTTAATTACCTCTTGGCAAAGTTGCAAACAGTATTAAATAGTCACATTTATCAGGTCACCCAAGCAGGGGCGTAAATGTGGGGGTGTGTGGGGGGGGTACACCCCCCCAGGAAAAAAAATAGTCGGTCGCAAAATCAGTGCAGTCGGTCGCAAAATAAGAGCAGTCGGTATCAAAATAAATGCTCACTGCACACGTCACGCTACTAACGCAAAACTTTAGTATAAAATAACCTTGTCAACTTAATGTGTTTCACTCTTATTCTGTTGTGAGTATGTAGGTCTAAGAACAAAATTTCCCCCAGGGAGAAAAATAGTCGATCTCAAAATAAGTGCAGTCACTGCAGTCGGTCTCAAAATTATGCATCGCCGTCTTGATTAATTAATGAGGTAAACAAATAATGCCAGAATAGATCCCAAATACTAGTCGGTCGCAAAATCAGTGCAGTCGGTCGTAAGATATGAGCAGTCGGTATCAAAATAAGTGCTCACTGCACACGTCACTCTACTCACGCAAAACTTTAGTATAAAATAACCATGTCGACTTATCATGTTTGAAAAAAATGTTTTTCACCCCATGGCAAAAAAATAGTCGGTCTCAAAAAAAGTGCTCACCGCAGACGGTCTCAGACTAAATGAATTAATGGGGTGTTTTCTGACCATCAGAATTCTGCAAAATCTCTCCCCAAAGTCCAGGGCATTTCTGAGACCAAGTAAGCGCCCCATTGAGGTAAAGTGCCCTCAGGCCCAGTCCTCAAAAATTAAAAGCTCAGTTACATATCGGCGCTCAATTCCATTATGCCATCATTCTTCAACTTCTTCTCTGTCTTATACTATCTCATCACTATCATATTCACAGTTACAGTGAATCGTCCGGTTAGTAGTACCACTATAAGTGAGTGAGTCGTGGGTCAAAAAATTGTAGAATTGTTAGTTCTACTCTCACAAAACAGGCGACATTGACAGATAGGCCTCAAGATTCTGTCCCATTTCTTATCCTCTCATTAACGAGAATTTGGATTCATTTGCCATGACATTGACTAAAATTGTCAGGCCCAGTCCCAAAAATTAAAAGCTCGGTTACACATCTCAAATTTGTTCGTGCCTGCGGCGCTCGATTCCATTATAACATCATTATTCCACTCCTCTGTTGTCTTATACTGTCTCAGCACTATCATATTCACGGTTATACTGAACTGCCTAGTTATGTTAGTAGTACCACTGGCACTGGTGTGTGGGTCGTGGGGCGTCAGACTATACACAAGTTCTGTCAACTCTAAGAAACAGGCGGAATTGACAGGGGGCAGATCTCGAGATTTTGTCTAATTGACTCACATTTCTGGTCCTCTCGTCCACAAGAATTTCTCCCAGCAATGACCTCAAATGCAAGATATTGACTCAATTTTTCAAAATTTTCTCAGGTTGCTCTGTATAGGCACAATCATATATATGACATAAACTTTATGTCAACTTAAATAAAACTGCTTTCCAGCGAGACAACGATCGGCAAACAACTATATAATTATACAATACCATCTTTGTTCTACCGGGACGCTTAATGTTATAGCCAGTATTTTGTTGACATTCATTGTGGGGTGGGATTGTGGCTGGGGTGGCGCCCTAGATTAGGACCCCCCCCCACCCCTATCTAGATCCGCTACTGCACATGGCCCCTACAAAACTCGCACCTGTGGTGCTCGGTTCCTGACTGCGTCACTCGTACTAGAGTATGGGCATCAGTCGGTCGCATTTTGGCTAAACACCCCCCAAACAAAATCGTTATGTACGCCCCTGCACCCAAGGAAAAATTGGGGACAAACAATATAAGCAATTATTTCTAAGCAGCTCCATATTTTTTTGAGGAACCTTGTGAATGTTGGGACTTCTCTTTTTAAGGTAATGTACTTAACTGCTAAATTGTTTTAATGGCATTTAATTGCTGTGTATAAATTTGAGATGAGAGTTCTAATAAACAATTTTGGCAATGATTCCAAAATAGAGAGTTGTTTTGAATTTTTTGGGAGAAACCCTGTGAATATTAATTGGACCTCTTCTTTGTAATGTAAAGTTAATGTAATTTTAACTGCTGTGTACAAGACAAGTTTTTGGCAATCACTTCCAAACATACTTTTTTTAAAATTAGGACATCTCCTTTAAAGGTAATGTACTCAACAAGAGTGTAGAAGACTAAGTTTAAATTTGAACATTTGATTTTGGGACTTCTCCTTTAAAAGTAATGTACTTAACTGTTGTTAGATCTATTTCACAAGGCCGCCTGCAGATTTTGCAAGGTCACGAGATGCAAACAGAGTTAGGGCGTGTGATTGTTGACCAGGATTGTGACTTAAGCTCTGTTTACACTTGGCCGCGATAAGCGTGCCGTTCTGGGCACGGTACCAGGCCGCGATAAATTTCAAGAAATTGGCCCGTTTACATTACTGTAAAATAACCGGTCTCAGAACCATGCCAAGCACGCCAAATGTGGAACTCTTCACAGAAAAGTTAACTTCAGTCCCTATACAAATTACCCAGATGAAAACAATTATGATGGTTGATTTAGTTTGAGCAGCCATTTTGACAGAACTGATGACAGAGCTGTCAAAAGTCTGCGGGGAAAAAAGGTCAAGGTTCATTTGGCGCATGCGCAGTAATCCGTGCTCAGACCGGTTAGCGTTTACACTACGAAAATTTAAAGCGAACCAGTCCTGGTACCGTTCCGAGACCACCTCACTTCAGTGGGCCAGATTGGCACCATACCAGGCGCGGCACGCTTACGTTTGACCCGTTTACACTACAAAAAAGCGAAGCGTGCCGTACCTGGTACCGTGCCAGGTACGATTAAAATTTGTAATGTAAACAGGGTTATTGGGTTTGGTTTAGGGCTAGACCCTGGGTTAGGGTTAGATGACGTTGTGAAATCGATCTAACCACTTAACGGTAGTGTTGAAGACCAGTTTATGGCAATCACTTCCAAATCTTTTTTATATTGGGAGAGAGAGAGAGAAATGGGGTTTAACGTCCACTCGACTCAAACTAGGTCACTTCGGGACTAACATATGGTTTAATTTTATTTCAATAATTCTCTTGCGTGTAGGGGTCTTTAGCAGTAGGAGGAAACCGGAGGACCCGCAGAAAACCCACAAGGTTGGACAGCCGACCCTACTCCTTGTCACTTACAACCGGGGATATTCAAACCACGCCAGTTGACTCAATGAAAGGCTTTATGATACAGCGCGCACATGCTAAAACCATTCGGCCATCCAACCCCCTTTTTTATATTGGGACTTTACCTTTAAATGTAATGAACTTAATAGCAGGACAAATTTATTTTGAAATTTTTCTCCTTTAAAGGTGATGTACTTTTAATTACAGTGTAGAAGACCAGTGGGACTTCACCTTTAACCCGTTAAGCGTGACGTTTTTAAAACGTTAACTACCCCCTATTGTGTAATTAATTTGACGAAGTGACGAAGAACTATGTACTATGTTCTAAGAATAGGTTGGGGAAAATACCTCCAAGGCGTTATATTACACCCTACACACAGTGAGTGGCAGTTGTCTAGGACGTTATTTTGAACATTTTTTTTTTCGGGAACCCGTGAATATTGGCACTTCTGCTTTAAAGGTAATTACTTGCACTGCAGTGTTCAAGACCAGTTTTTGCCTGTAACTATAACATAATTAACTTTGTAGCAGAATGTTGATGTTGGGGTAAAAACTAATATTGTCTAACCTGCAGATATATGCACACTAGATTAATATCAAGTTGGGGATATTTACCATGAGATTATGAAACAAACAAGCATATAGAAGTTCCTTGAATCACATTCAGAAGTAGAGGTATAATATTCATAATAACACAACTTAATGGATTTACTACTTCTTAGTTTATTACATTCAACATTTCAATACTCTTACAGGTATCTTTATCAAGCAATGATCAATAATGATTCGTTTGTTCGTTTCTAGAGTTTTACGTCCACTTTCACCTAAGGTGATATCGTAGACAATCAATAATGTTGATCAATAATAAATAATAACCTTACATTTATAGTACATCCATGAGTAAAAACAATTTAACAATCAAAACATAACATTAATTAAGACTTATAACAACAACCATTTCCCTTTGAATATGACTTCACTATCTCTCTTAAATATAACAGATTTAAATTGGGGACTGAAGCCACCAACTAGACTAAAATGTAATCCTGCAATCAATACCCCTTATCTACACAATTGAATAGGTTTATGTCTTTAAGTTTATCTTCTTAATAATATGGTAATATAACTAATTTAATATATTAGGCATAATTAATTAGGTTGATTCCACTCCCCTCCTTCCTTATGATCAAAATATAAGCTAACCACTTATAATGGTTGTTGTTATAAGTCTTAATTAATGTTATGTTTTGATTGTTAAATTGTTTTTACTCATGGATGTACTATAAATGTAAGGTTATTATTAGTTATTGATAATTGCTTGATAAAGATACCTGTAGTAAATCCATAAAGTTGTGTTATTATGAAGCATATAAAAGATTCAAATGAAATGAAAATGAAATAGGGTTTAACGTCCTACTGTTCTGCTCCGAACTGGGCTAATGAAGACGGGTATACGCCATACAGTGTGCTATGAGGGAAATTTTGCCAGGACCGCGGCACTACAGCCTACTCTTATATCGAATTTCAACTGCCTAGGGATCTTTTACGTGCACGCCAATGTGTACACTGGACCTCAGTTTTTCTTCCCATCCGAACGACTAGACAGCTGTCCTTGTCAGGCCCTCTGTCCTGCATCACTGACAAGGGGGAACCACGCCGGAAAATCTGGATGAACTTTCTCGGCCAATGCTGGGATCGAACACCCAACCTCCAGGATAGCGAGCCAGCGTCTTACCCACTTAGCCACTGTGACCACCTGATTAATATCAAGTTGAGGATATTTACCATGAGATTATAAAACAAACAAGCATGGGGAAGATTAACTATTTATTTCTGATTAATTCAATAATAATTTCCTCAGAATAACATAATTAATAATATAAGATTTGACAACACAATACATACTAGTTTTCTAATACACTTAAACATACATTATGCAAGAGGTAAATCTGCCAATTGCAGGTCTTTCTTTAGGCGTGAAATGTTATCTAAATTATTAATTAGACATTAATTAACTTATCCAGACAATAATCAACTCTCGATGTCATCGCTAGCCTGCGATATATACTGAAGTAGGATTTACTGCTTTGTGCTAATTCATGATTAAATCAAGAAATGGATAATCAAGACTATGTTATTTATCGTACCGACTTTAGTAATGATGATCGAGGCAAGGCCGAAAATTCAATCGCTAAATTCTCGGTTCATAGTGGATGAATTTGACTGAAATTTTCAGCAAATTGCCTTTACATTATCTAGTTTTTAACTATTATATTGATAACTGCCAGCTCTTTATCTAATCTCCCATAATGTATCTTTAATATCCCTAAGTCATACATGTATTATTTGACAATCATTTTATTGAGATCTACAATGTGAAATGAAACAAGCCAACAGTATTAAGGCTGATGCATGCAGGTCTGTCTTAAGGCGTGGGCATGCTGGGCAGTTGCCTGGGAGCCCAATCTATATTTCATTTCATTTTTTTATACTCTCGATGGCCTACACTACATGAAGATCTGACCAGTTGTAGTGGAAACTCGCGTCAGAAGTCAAACGAGCGGCTTTTGACCCTATGATGTCAAGTCATTTGATTAACCAATCAGCGTTGAGGTATCTAGTGGGTTATGCACAGTTCTCTGCATCTCAAGCAAAAAACTTGCTGTAACAAACTGTTTCATTGGCTAATCTCTCTCATCATCCAGAACGTAGAATATATAACAATTCTTCCAGATCCTAGTGTAGTAAAGACAAGTAAAACAAAATTTTGAACTATAAAAAACAAAATGAAATAGGATCTGTGTTTTAATCAGATTGATGGGGGCCCCACAAGGATTTTGTTGGAAGTACAAATACAGTAAAATTTTATTCAACTGGACAGTTCTCCGGGGGCCCACAAGAATTATAGGGCCCTCTTGCTTGTCTATGTATTTTGTGACTTGCTGTAACATTTAAAAGCTGATTTTGTTGTAAGTACCAATATAATAAATATATGTTTATATATGAGTGGTTGCGTAGGTAGGGGCCCCAGAGCACTGCTTTGCCTGGGGGCCTATAATGCTGTTAAAACTGCCCTGGACAAAATAATTTGATAGCACTCACAAATTACTGGTACATACAGCAACAGTCAGACTGGTGTTCCCCGTCTTAATATCCTAGTTAGCACGTGCGCGCTGTATCATAAGTCTGTCATTGAGTCAACTGGCGTGGTTTCGAATCCCTGGTTGTACATGACAAGGTCGCCTGTCCAACCTCGTGGGTTTTCTCCGGGTCCTCCGGTTATCTCCCACTGCTAAAGACCCCTACACGCAAGCGAATTATGGAAATAAAATTGAACCATATGTTAGTCCCGAAATGACCTAGTTTGTGTCGAGTGTACGTTAAACCCCATTTCTCTCTCTCTCTCTCTTAATATCCTAAACAAATACTTGCATATTTATCTTTTTATAATTTATAATGTGTATATTTTTAATGCGCTTTATTCGCAACATTTAAGGTTATGCTCAAAGCGCGATACGATTCCTACCTCTGTCTTAAACATACATTATGCAAGAGCTGAAATGTTATCTAAATTATTAATTAGACATTAATTAACTTATCCAGACAATAATCAACTCTCGATGTCATCGCTAGCCTGTGATATTTACTGGATTAGGATCTGATCTGCTCTACGCTCATTCATGATTAAATCAAGAAATGGATAATCAAGACTATGTATTTTATCGTACCGACTTTAGTATAGATGATCGAGGCTAGGCCCAAAATTCAATTGATAAATTTTCGGTTCAGAAATCAGAGTGGATCAATTTGACTGAAATTACATTATCTAGTTTTTAACTATTATAGTGTATCATTAAAAAAAGCATCAACGTATGCTGTCCAAAGAGCACAGCAGGTTATTGTGTAATTGTATCCTACCAATGTTATCGACGTAAAACAGAAATGAAATGAAGTGAAATGGGGTTTAACATCCTACTTTTCTGCTCCAACTGGGCTAATGAAGACGGGCATACGCCATACAGTGTGCTATGACTGAAATTTTGCCCGGGCAGCGGCGCTACGGCCTACTCTTATATCGAATTCCAACTGCCAAGGCATCTTTTACATGCACGCCAATGTATACACGGGACCTCGTTTTTTCATGCCATCCAAACGACTAGACAGCTAGTAATTTGGTATCTTAAAATATTAACATTTATGTTAATCTTATAGCAGATTTGGTGGAAGCTGTAGTGGCTCAGTGAGTAAGATGCTGGCTAACTATAGCCAGCCAGGAATAGTGTCTAGTCGTTTGCATGTTACAAAAAACAGAGGTCCTGTGGTGTGCACTTAAAAGAACCCTTGAAAGATGGAATTCGGAATAAGACATTGTGTCATATATTGATACAACACTCAGACTAGTGTCCTCGTACAGTATCAATATATGATTCGCTGTCAATCATTAATCCATATAATCTCTCCAAGTCAGATATTTGTTAAATAATTCACAATGTGGGCAGTTGAATACGATACAAATAAATTAGATTAATAAACAAAAAGGGAATAAAATATAACAATGTAAAAAAGGGGTCCCCTTGTATATTATATATATAAATTCATAACAATTAAAGATGCATTATGTTAGATTTAAATAAAGAGCTAGTCGTTCTTGTTATAACAATTCAACCAACCTAGGGTGTGGGGGGGGCAATGCCCCCCTGAAAAAAAATGTTGCTGATGATACCTCTAAAATACCTACTGTAGACTGTGACCTGTCCCCCCACAAAAAATTTAACTGCCCCTCTGCAGTCAGCAAGCTGGCTATGTGCCTGCCCCCTTCAATAGGTAGATTTAGCTCTTACATAATACATCTTTAATAATAACAGCAGTAACATGCAACAAAATAACACTTCTTTGTACCATTATAATTATTATAACAGTTTTATTTTAATGATATTCAGGAGATGATTATTTTTAATGACAACCAATGGGTTTCAATGAGGTAATTATTTTTCAACAATTATGTTAATACTAGGATCTCACTTAGTTCAACAGTATAAATGTTAATACTAGGATCCCACTTAGTTCAACAGAATAAATGTTGAGACTAGGTTCTCACTTAGTTCAACACTATAAATGTTGAGACTAGGATCCCACTTAGTTCAACAGAATAAATGTTCAATCAATAGTATAAATGTTCAATCAATAGTATAAATGTTAAGGATCCCACCCAAGCAGCACTTTGGACCATCAGTGAAATCACCCTTTCTTTAATAACTAACTGTGATATTACCCTTTATTTAATAACTAACTGTGATTCCATCTTCTATTTAATAACTAACCCAAGATATCACCCTTTATTTAATAACTAACTGTGATTCCATCTTCTATTTAATAACTAACCCAAGATATCCCCCTTTATTTAATAACTAACTGTGATTCCATCTTCTATTTAATAACTAACCCAAGATATCACCCTTTATTTAATAACTAACTGTGAAATCACCCTTTATTTATTAACTTACTGTGATACCACCTTTTATTTAATAACTTTCTGTGGTATTACCCTTTATTTTATAGCCAATTGTGATATCACCCTTTATTTATTAACTTACTGTGAAATCACCCTTTATTTAATAACTAACTGTGATATGACCTTTTATTTAATAACTGTCTGTGGTATTACCCTTTATTTTATAACCAATTGTAATATCACCCTTTATTTAATAACTAATGGTGATATCACCCTTTATTTAATAACTAAATGTGATATCACCTTTTATTTAATAACTAAATATGATATCACCCTTTATTTAATAACTAACTGTGATATTACCTTTTATTTAATTACGTTGATATAACCCTTTATTTAATAAGTAACTGTGATATCACCATTTATTTAATAACTAACTGTGATATTTAATAACTAAATGTGATATCACCTTTTATTTAGTAACTACCTTTGATATCACCCTTTATTTAATAACTAACTGTGGTATCACCTTTTATTTAATAACTTACTGTGATATTTAATAACTAAATATGATATCACCTTTTATTGAATAACTAACTTTGATATCACTCTTTATTTAATGAGTAACTGTGATATCACATTTTATTTAATAACTAACTGTGATATCACCTTTTTTTTAACTAGGTAAATGTGATATCACCCTTTATTAACTTACTGTGATATCACCCTTCTGTGGTATTACCCTTTAATTAATAACTAATTGTGATATCACTATTTATTTATTAACTAACTGTGATAATGAATGTCTTGGTATCTAGTCGTAATGTGCAGAGTTGGATTAAAGGGAGGGGCTGACAGGGCTGCAGTCATGGGCTCCAATGCTAAAGGGGCCCCCAAATTAGTTCTAAAATAATTTTAATACCATAAATAAATATCTCATATTAGGGTAGAGTTTAACAAGGGGAACACAGGAATTTCGCAGCTACGGTAAGACAACCATGGCGCCTGTGCCGGAATATGCCCCCTTTTCACTATTGAATACGATAGAGTTTAACAAGGGGGACATAGGAATTTCGCAGCTATGGTAAGGCGACCATGGGCCCTGTGCCGGAATATGCCCAATTTTCACTGTTGAATACTGTCAATTGTCAAGCCCCATGTAAGCTTAATGTGGTCCAGACAATGTGTGTTCATCCTGCCGATGCAAGATACTGACATTTTTTTGGACATAACTGAAATGTTGTTAAATGGACAGAGCACACAGATGCAAGACGTCACAAATGAATGAATTTCTAATTTTCACACAGTTGAGTGATCCACTGATACCATTCGCACATTTTTAGTATTTCTAAAAGAAATTCCTGGTTGCCGTGGCACTGGTTCACAGCATAGCACTTGTTTACACTTACAACGAAATTCTGCCGAATAAAAACTATACACAAGCGGATTGGCAGCATTGTTCCACAGCGGGCTGTAATATCCCAGATCATAAAACGCTCGTCTTAATGGTGACAAATTTGAATCCAAATGTCTGAACGAAACAATGACCAAGTGCGGTAAATAGCTCAAGATAAATACAACGGTAATAGCAAAGAAAATTTTGAACGTGCTTATATGTGTATTGCAATTTGGCTGAGAAGATTCTGGTTGGTCTTGGCAAAGTTGAGCCCTTTTTTGATTGCATCGGATCAGCTCCCTCCACATTAATATATACAAAACAGACAACGTAACGATTATTCCAAAAAACAAAATGGCCAGAACAGCTTGGTATATGAAATAAAGAACACTTTGTCGTTCTTCATCCGTAACCACGCACATTGTTATATTAAATTTTAAATCATTGAAGCTAACTTCTGATCGTAAACCATAATCTAAAAACAGTCTTAAAATACTGGGTAAGATAGCTATCAAGATTGAAAAAAGACAAAGTTTTTTGGCTTGCTGTAGTTCGAATACAATAACCATAGGTTTACTGATCCCATAATATCTTTGATACGCAATGATCGTAAACAGTACTCCAGACGCAATGGCAGTGTAAAGTGAGAGAAATGGCATCATAGTACATAATATATCCATGTCCACATGATCTTGTCCGATCACCAACGCCAAAGCTCCTGGCACACTCGTAAGACAGTTTAAGAGATCCAATCCTGCTAAAACTTGCACAAATAAAGTGAAAGTTGATAACTTTGATTTAAAGTGATAAATATATAAGACAAGAACGTTACCAGTTGTTCCGACAACTAAAATGACAAATAAGAATATAAATCTCGGAAGTAGAAGTAGAATCCTTGCATTCCGAATTTCCGATTCCAGGGGAATGTCCAGGTCAACGCTTTCCGTAGATAAAAAGCTAATGTTACGATCTGTGGTACTGTACATGTTGTTGTCTCGATGTCCTGTTGATTGGTTAATTTTGATAAAACATCATAAACCTTCCATTGAATAATGAATCTGAAATTATATAGAACAATAAATTTACACAAAATCAAAATTATATTAATTTATTCATTTTAATTCCCATTTAAACATACATTATGCAAGAGCTAAATCTGCCTATTGCAGGTCTTTCTTTAGGCCTGAAATGTTTTCTAAAGTATTAATTAGACATTAATTAACTGATCCAGGCCTTAATCAACTCTCGATGGCATCAGATTTCTCCGATATTAAATAGATTAGAACGGTTCAGCGATACTTTGATTTAATCAAATATGGAGGACCGAGACTTAGCTTCTATCAACCAGTACGGTGGTTGAAATTATTGCACACGTCTGTCAAACCTTCAAAGGCTAATATCTTCGCTTGCAATAGAGTAATTTGAATGAAATTTTCAAATTATTCATTTTACATCATCTACTTTCGAACTATTATAGCAAGAATGGCTAGTTCGTTATCTAAATCTTACATAATGTATCTTTAAGTCGTCAAAGATCACAAAGTTTAATCAGTAGATTTTTTGTAACAGCTGTCAACTATATCTGCAATGCTTTAACTTCCACGAGAGAGAGAAATGGAATCTTTAGGAGTGGGAGCAAACTGAGGACCTGGAGAAACCCCACAAGGTTGGACAGGCGACCCTACTCATCACGTAAAAGCGGGGAATCGAAACCACACCTCTTGATTCAATGACAGACCTGATGATTGATCTAAAGCACATGTGTTATACCATTAAACTCAATAACAAGCAATCAGGGCTGGCTTTATCTACTCGCAGACCCTAGGCTGTCGTGTCAACCCCCAGATATGAAAAAACAGGAGCCCAGCAATGAAAAAACATGGGAATCCAGGAGATTTTTCTATTCATCAAATAACATCCTTTTTATTCATCATTAATTCTATATTCACAAGTTTTTAGCATTTTATTAATATACACAAGGCTTTAGCACATTATACACAAGGCTTTAACATTTTATACACAAGTCCTTAACATTTTATACACAAGTCTTTAGCACATTATACACAAGTCCTTAACATTTTATACACAAGTCCTTAACATTTTATACACAAGTCTTTAACATTTTATACTGTTCGATCCCAGCTGCATTGGCCGAGAAAGTTCATCCAGATTTTCCGGCATGGTTTCCTCTTGTCATTGATGCAGGACGGAGGGCCTGACAAGGACAGCTGTCTAGTCATTCGAATGGGATGAAAACCTGAGTTTCTGTGTAAACATTGGCGTGCACGTAAAAGAACCCTTGACATTTGGACTTCGATATAAGAGTAGGCTGTAGTGCCGTGGTCCGGGCAAAATTTCCCTCATAGCACACTGTATGGCGTATGCCTGTCTTCATTAGCCTAGTTCGGAGCAAAACAGTAGGACGTTAAACGCCATTTCATTTCATTTAACACTTTATACACAAGTCTAGGATCCCCAGGCCAAACTTGTCAGTGGGACCACAAACTGTAGAAATGATGGCATGTTTCTAGGTCCTATACGTTATTGTAAAAGGGGAGTCCCCTGAGGGGACCTTATGGTTTTGAATACATTGTATAATGAAATACGCAGTTTACATTTGAAACAAGTTTATTCCCTGACATGCTGCTCGACAAATTAGTTTCAGTGGACCCTGAGATACCTGTTGACCCTAGGCCAATAGCATATTATTGGTAAATCCAAGTCTTCCAGACATATATAAATCATTAGAATCTATTTAACCACAGGAAAAATAATTTCCTGTACTCTGTTATTCTCTCAATATTTTAAAATTTTATTGACAGTTTAATATAGTAGACAAAATAGACCTGGATCATTCTGTCATTCTTTGATCCTCATGTTTTTTTTAGATAAACCAAAGCATATTACACTGTAATCTTGTGCATTTAGCTCTAATTTCTTAGAGTAATCCTAATTTGAAGGATACGCTGATGAAAGCAAGATTCATCCATCCACCACGGGATCCGCAAACCAGCGGAGTTACGTTTCAAAATCTATTCGAAAATTGTATCAAGAAAGACTGTGATATCTGCTACAAATTAGACCAAAATATCTACTTTATTAGTGGTAAAACTGGCAAGAAATATTCCTGCCGCACGGGCTATAATTGTTTAAGTAGAAATATAGTCTACCTATTAACATGCTCCTCCAAAAAATAATACGTACATAGGAGAAAGCAAACGTGTCTTTTCAAAACGAATAAAGGAACACTATGCAGCTATTATACACAACAGGCCAAAGCCGGTCACACTACACTTCAACTTAGATAGACATATGAGTAGAAATGTTATGATTAAAATTATAGAGCTTTTTAAGACTGACCCAGATAACGGCAAAAACGATGCCGTAAGGAAAGCCAATGAATTCAAATGGATTCACACTTTAAGAACATTCGCACCGGATGGCATTAACGATAAGATGTAGTCCCGAGGGGTCCCCCACTTAATTATTGTTTACTCTAATTTCTTTCACCTTCATTCAATATCAAATCCTTGTTTAAAAATTCGCAAAAATTGTTTAAAATCACCAAATATCATCTACTTTGTACTTGGTGTCCAGTTAGATGATGTTGATTTTTATGAATTTTTAAACAAAGATTTGATATTGAACGAATGTGAAAGAAATTAGTGCTAGATACACAAGATTAAATGATACACAGGTTACAGCGTTAATTACTTCAATTTTTTGTGATTTTGAATGATTTTTAATAATTTTTAAACAAAGATTTGATATTAAAAGATAAGAGGATACTTGTCGAAACGTCGTGCTTTTAGAATAAAACTAGTGATTGTTTCCCATAAAAACTGTGTTCTGTTAATTCATTATGCAAGAGCTAAATCTGCCTTTTGCAGGTCTTTTTTTAGGCCTGAAATGTTATCTAAATTATTAACTAGACATTAATAAACTTATCCAGACCATAATCAACTCTCGATGTCAATGCTAACCTGCGATATTTATTGGATTAAGATCTGATATGCTGTTCTTGTCTGCGATATCACCTCGGTGGAAGCGGACGTAAAATACAACAAACTACTACGATATGCTGTTAAACTTTCATTTATGATTTAAACATGAAATGGATAATCGAGACTATGTTTTGTATCATACTGACTTTAGTAATGTTGTTTGAGGATAGGCCAAAAATTCAATCGCTAAAATCTCGGTTCAGAGTGGATCAATTTGACTGAAATTATCAGCAAATTCCCTTTACATTATCTAGTTTTTAACTATTATAGTGAGAACTGCCAGCTCTTTATCTAATCTCCCATAATGTATCTTTAAAGGGGGCTTTCTGAAAATCCATTAAGTTGGACAGGTGACCCTACTTCTTGTCACGTATAAGCTAGGAATCAAAACCACGCGGGGGTTGGGTGGCCGAATGGTTAGCATGTGCGTGCTGTATCATACGGCCTGTCATTGAGTCAACTGGCGTGGTTTCGAATCCCCGGTTGTACGTGACAAGGAGTAGGGTTGCCTGTCCAACCTCGTGGGTTTTCTCCGGGTCCTCCAGTTTTCCTCCCACTGCTAAAGACCCCTACGCGCAAGCGAATTAATGAAATAAAATTAAACCATATGTTAGTCCCGAAATGACCTAGTTTGTGTCGAGTGGACGTTAAACCCCATTTCTCTCTCTCTCTCTCTCTCTCAAAACCATGCCACTTGACTCAATGACAGACCTTATGATCTAAAGCACACTCTTTAACCATTCACCCACCTTTCCCTATTTGAAAATTGGGTAAATTTTCAGACTTGTGAGAAGGGCCCCCGAATTCACAAAGCATTCTTAAGTTAAGCATTTACTCAAAATTGTTTGTCTTATTTTCATTACAATATAACCTTTTACAAAACGTTTGTTGTTTTAATGTATCAAATATATCAATAAGAAACTATGTGTAAAGTTTTATGTTTCTGGATCAAAGATATTGCTCATGAACAGTGACTGAAAGAAGAATAAATTCTCGACTTAAGTCTGAGAATGCTTTGTGAACTCGGGGACAATAACTGATATACCTCTACATAATACACTAACATCGACATTAAGATGGCATATTTAAGTAATGTGAATTTAGATCCAATAGTAAATGTTTAACTATATTGTGCTAATCCACGCAGTATTACTTAATTCAGTGAACTATATTTTAATGGATCTTAATCCACCTTAATTACTAACCATTTATATCTATTTTATATTGTTGTATATTGTGCTAATTACTTAATTCAGTGAATTATATTTTAATGGATCTTAATCCAGCTTAATTAGCTCCCCATTTATATATATTTCATATTGTCTTACATATCGTGCTAATCCACACAGTATTACCGGTACTTAATTCAGTTAACTATATTTTAATGGATCTTAATCCACCTTAATTAGCCCCATTTATATCTATTTCATATTGTCTTATATATTTGTTTAATCACCTGTCTCCAGTATTCTTTGTTTTACACTTTAAATTGATCTTATGAATTGTAATTAACGTCTACGGGCTAAAACATTTTAAGTTACCATGGTATATATGTTGTTTGTATAGACGATATATTTATAGGATTAATGCCATAGGCGATGCATGGGGATATATAGACCCAAATGACAGAATTAGAGGGGATCTTGCCTCACACGTGTCATTGGGAGATCAGCTTAGATCACATTCCTAAGGAAATGAAATGAAATGGGGTTTAACGTCCTACTATTTTGCACATTCCTAAGGACAGAGCTCACTTTACCCTGTATTTGGATATTTGGAGACACAAGTTTATCTCAATTCCCATATCCATATTGGAGCTAATTTACTATTAAGCATTGAACCAATAATTGTTACATTAACTGTCTGCTGTAAGTTATGTAAGTTTGTTAATCAAAGAATAGAGAAATATTAACAATTAACAAGATTCCTGTCTTCATTCATTCAACCACCAGAATTCAAGAAAATACATAAGGATTCCACTTGTGCAATATCTCTAATGTGCAAAACCTTACAAATTTTTTTCTATAAATTGTTGATGTCAAGTATTTTTTTCA